CTTCTGCCTGCTCTGCTCCCCGCTCTGGCTCTGGTGAATTCTCTCACCCTCCCGCGCTTCTGACTGTACCCAGTGCTTGTATAAACAAAACAAACAAATAAATAAATAAAACATGCCTCTATCAAAAAAAAAAATAACGTTTAAAAAAAAAAAAAAGAAAAATGAGAAACGTGAGTTAAATAGTTTGTCTTCCTGTTTCTTATCATAAAGATCCTGACTACTCTACCCATAGGTAAACCACTATACAAAATACCCCATCCTTCACTGCTGAGTGGCTAGGCTACTACCTGAAACAACAGACAAGTTCTAGCAGTACAAATGTAAAGGAGTCCATAAATAACAAAGATTTCAACATGTTCTACAGTCCTTTAAAATTGTACTTAGTTCTACAAAAAGCCCAACTAACCTGGTCTTTCAAAAATATCAACTCCCTGGTGGTATAAGGGGTTAAGCATCAGCACTGTGAAGCTGTCTGCAACTACTACAGGAAACTACTGCAGCACAAGTTCAATCCCCAGCCAGGGAGGTGACCCACATGGCACAGCAGACCTCCTGCCTCACCCACTGCACCCCTCAGCAGTGTATTTCAGTCACTCTGCCTGTTCTGCTCGCCAGTCTGTCTCTGGTGAATTCTCTCACCTCCCGCACCTCTGGCCTACACCCTAGTTCTTGTATGCATAAATATAGCTTTAAAAAAATGTATCAGGGCTTTCCCTGGTGGCGCAGTGGTTGAGCGCTGGACTGCGAAGCTGCCCGCAGCCTCTGCTGCACCAGTAAGGGTCCCACATGGCACAGCAGACCTCTCCTGCCATGCCCACTGCTTCCCTCAGCAGTATATTTCATCAGTCTGCCTGTTCTGTTCCCCACTCTGGTGAATTCGCTCACCCTCCAGCGCTTCTGACTGTACCCAGTGCTTGTATAAATAAATAAATCTTTAAAAAAAAAAAAAATATATATATATATATATCAATGCCATGAAAGACAAAACAAGGCAAGGGAAATAGTCTACATTAAGGGCGATTAAACAGACAATGACAACCAAGTGTAAAGAGATTCTTGATTAGATCCTGGATTTAAAAAATAAGCTATAAAGACTATTTTTGGAACCTGGGAAAATCTGAATATGTTTGAACATGTATGTATTATATACTACTAAACAGACATTAAGCTGCTTGAATATGATGATGTTATCATCCTACGCAGGAAAATATTCCTTGTGCTCCTAAAACATACATTCTAAGATATTTAGGGGTGATGTACCATGTTTGTACTAGTTATGTATGTACAGAAGGGATAAAATAAATGGGGTAAACTTGTAACAGTAAGAAAGCGAGACCTATGAGTGGAGAAGTCACTGTAAAACTCAACTTTTCTGTACATTTAAAATTTTTTCAAAATTAAAAAAATGTACTTAACACCACCTTAGACACAAGTGTTCACTGAGCAGATCTGGATTCTCAGGTGATTAGGATGGTTATCAGTTAGGGTTATTTTTTTTTTTTGTATCCTTTCTTACCCATTCCTGAGTAACAATAAATGTCTGTACAACTTTTGGAAGGTAGTATGGTGGTGATGAGGCATTTAACAAGAGACTATTAAAATTACCACATTCATAACCTGGACTCTGGAGTACTGTGTTAATCTAAAAAAATTTCAGGCATGTTTATATGTATCATCATGGGAAATATATTTACTAAATAAAGCTAATATCAAAATCATAAGTATAATTTTTTCAAATATTAGTAATATAAATTCTTACTTAAGTTACAGGTGGCAGAATTTATACATTACTTTCTCTTTGTCTGTTGCCCTTTGCTTTCTATGGATTTGCATATATTGCTTCTGTAACAGGTCAAAATGTTGAAAGAAATACACACAAATAAATAACCAAGCTAGGGCCTCGCCAGTGGCGCAGCAGTTGAGCACTGGGTTGCGAAATTGCCCACAGCCTCTGTAGCACCGGTTTGATACCCGGCTGCTCCCCGGCCACCGGAGGAGGGTCCCACATGGCGCGCAGACCTCTCCTGCCACCCGCTGCTCCCCTCAGCAGTGTACTTCCGTCCTTCTGCCTGCTTTGCTCCCCACTCTGGCTCTGGTGAATTCTCTCACCCTCCCGCGCTTCTGTCTGTACTCAGTGCTTGTAAAAATAAATAAATAAATAAATCTTAAAAAAAAAAAAAAAAACCAAGCTAAAATTCTACCAAAGCTATAGGAGTAAGCACTCTTCATTTTGGCTGAGATATGAGCTAGATGCCAGAGGCAGATGTAGCAACAGTTTCATCAAGATTATGAGCAGTATTTATCAGCAAATGTCAAAACAAAGGAGGATAATAATAAAGGACCAGATTGTAGTCATCATACACTAAGTCACTTATTAAGCATGCATTTATTGAAGTCTGTTTTGTACAGTATCCCAGTTAATACTGAAATGAGTAACACCTAGTCTGTCTGCGCCCCCAAGTCTAACTGGGGAAATCAGACAAGCAAAACATTAACCCAAAGGAACACAAAGAGTATTAGAGAGGTGATGCTTGCTGATATACAACTCCAATAACCAACAGAAAGCCAAAGGGAGAGGAGATGACAAGCTGAGCACCATCTTCAGTCGATGATCTCAGACCTGTGTTGCAGAGTAAAAGAACATCTCCATGCTTACAGCAGATTCATACAATGGTGCTTACTCAAATAGATTAAAATTAAAATGAAGAAATTTAATTCCATTCAAATACTAGAGCATAGACTATGCCAAGAATTCTGCTCAGGGCCAAGTTACAAAGACAAAACTCAGTTCCTACCCTCAAGGTGCTCAGAGATAAAGGTAATCCTCCGCCCTCTTAAAATAGAAATACACCATTAACAAGCATGTTCATGATATGTACAATACATATATTATAGTAATAATTACATATAATTATGTTATCACTGCCTATATACAATGGAAAATGGCATTAGCTAGTAACAAAGGATGAAAAACCCAGGACTACTGTAACAGTTACCATTTCCTAAGGACTGTGTAGTATGAGGGACTCAGGTTCCAGTGTAAAAAGAGGTTACATTCAACCCAGGTGACAAAGCAAGGTTTTATACTCAGGACTCTCCTGAACTTTATTCCTGACACATTGTGCTCCCTCTTAACAAAGAAAGTCCAAAATAATAAAAAACAAAACAAAAGAGAACAGCACAGACACCTAATCAGAAGATGTGTATGTAAAGATCAATTTTTTTTTAAAAAAGATTTTATTTATTTATTTATTTATACAAGCATTGGGTACAGTCAGAAGAGCGGGAAGGTGAAAGAATTCACCAGAGCCAGAGCTGGGAGCAGAACAGGCAGAATGATGAAAGTATACTTCTGAGGGGAGCAGCAGGAGCGGCAGGAGAGGTCTGAGCGCCATGTGGGACCCTCACCAGCGGCCGGGGATCGAACCGGCACTGCAGAGGCTGCAGGCAGCTTCGCAGCCCAGCGCTCAACCGCTGCGCCACCAGGGAGGCCCAAGATCAATTTTTTAAAGATTTATTTATTTATGCATACAAGAACTGGGGAGTAGGTCAGAGATGTGGGAGAGCAAGAGGATTCACTAGAGACAGAATGGGGAGCAAAACAGGCAGATCAACTGAAATACACTGCTGAGGGGAACAGCAGACTAGACAGGAGAGGTCTGCTGCGCTGTATGTAGGTTAGCTTGATAGTGCTGAGACTTTAACCCCTGCGCCACCAGGGAGGCTCAAAGACCAATTTTTATGTCTGCAACTCATATATCCTTGGTATTGGCTTAAGTGTTTTTGATTAAACAACAAAAAAAATTCTATTAAGAAAACAAAACTAAAAGGGAAAAAAGTCTGCCTAGAGACTACCACAATTTATAACTACGTTATAGACGAATATAAGGACCAGTATCAAACTTTCAGGTTCCTCAGAAAAAAACATTTCCTCTTATGCCTATATCATGGGTCAGCAAACAATGGCCCCAAGCCCAATCTAGCCCACTTCTGTTTTTGTAAATTAAGTTTTACTGGAACCCAGTCATGCCCACTCATATATGTATTATCTATGGCTGCTTTCCTGGGACAATGGCATAGTTAAGTAGTTATGCAGAAATAGAATGGTCTATAAAACCTGAATTATCTGTTATTTATTACAGAAAATGTCTGCTGACTTGTGGTTTAAAGGATATCACAAACGGTAGAAAAATAATTAGCTTTCTTTCAGTCCTTTATGAACCTTATTACGAAATTTACGTTGTCTTCCTTTACAATCAATGTTACTTAGTAAATGCTAGTTACTGTATTTCACAAGTATATTCGTATTTCAGTTATTTTCCATTGAGCAGATCTTACTTTAGCTGTCCAGTAATTCATCCTTCACAAAATTATTACAAAATCCTAATTAAGGGACCTATGCAATTACCTCCACACATACTTATCTTTCTATCGTATACAATCTGCAAAGATAAGTCTAGCAAGGGCCTCCCCGGTGGCGCAGCGGTTGAACGCTGGATTGCAAAGCTGCCCGCTGCCTCTGCAGCGCCGGTTCGATCCCCGGCTGCTCCCCGGCCACCGGAGGAGGGTCCCACATGGCGCGCAGACCTCTCCTGCCGCCCGCTGCTCCCCTCAGCAGTGTACTTCGGTCCTTCTGCCTGCTCTGCTCCCCGCTCTGGCTCTGGTGAATTCTCTCACCCTCCCGTGCTTCTGACTGTACCCAGTGCTTGTATAAATAAATAAAATAAATCTTTAAAAAAAAAAAAATAAATAAAATATAAAAAAAAAAAAAAAGATAAGTCTAGCAAAAGCTGAGTATAAAGACAATAGCTAATATTACAAAACAATTTCTAATACTCTGATCACACTAGGAAAGTGCCATTTAGGATCAACAGCATCAGCATCACCTGACTTGCTTATAAGAAATGCAAAAGTCATGGACCTCATTCCAGATACAGCAGGTGATTTTTACATACCCTGAAAGTTTAAGAACTACCACAATAACAGAGTATATTACTCACCTTCAGAGTGAAAAGACTGATTCGGCCAGGCAATTTATAAAACAGGCTCTCTCCTCCTCTTGAATTGGAATGTAGCATGGCATTGAGACACGCAAGAGGGGATGTTCCGCTGTGAAAACAGACAAAGATGGATAAGGGTCATAAAAATGCATATGTCTACTTACTCAAAGATCTAATACCCGCTAACTCATTCTTAAATCAAGAAGTAGAATGGGAAACACAAAGAAAAAGACAATACCAATTTCACGAAAGTAGCAAAAGAATAACCAAACAAAACTGACAGCCAGCGAACTCTGGATAAGATCTGCTCCACACCCGACACCTCCTTAGTGGTCTTTTGATAATGTGAACCAGGGGCCTCTCTGGTGGCCTAGGGGTTAAGTCTCAGTGCTTCTACCACAATGGCTTGAGTTCGATGCCCAGGTCAAGGAGCGTGGCGCACAGACCTGCATGGCACAGCAGACCTCTCCTGTCTTGCCTGCTGCTCCCTTCAGCAGTGTATTTCAGTACATCTACTTGTTCTGCTCCCCACTCTGTTTCTGGTGAATCCTCTGGTCAATACCCTAGTTCTTCTATGCAAAATAAATAAAATCTTTAAAAAGACAGAAAATGTGAACCAAATTCTCAAGAAACTTATAAACCCAAAATATTGAAAAAGAAATTTATAAAACCAACACTGATTTTTCAAGTTAACTCAAGCTTTGAAAAAACACATCCGATATTTTAATAAAAATTTAAATTTTAAATATTAATTAAAAATAAATCTGGGGAGGGCCTCCCTGGTGGCACAAGGGGTTAAGCACCACACTATGAAGCAATCCGCAGCCTCTGCAGCATGAGTTCGATCCCTGGCCAGCCAGAGAGCAACCCACATGGCGAAGCTGACCTCTCCTGGCTCACCCACTGCTCCCCTCAGCAGTGTATTTCGTTCAGTCTGCCTATTATGTTCCCCACTCTGTCTCTGGTGAATCCTCTCATCCCCCGCATCTCTGGCCTGTACCCTACCTCTTGTTTGCATAAATAAATCTTTTTAAAAAATTAAAAAAAAAAAATCTGGGGAAGGGCCTCCCTGGTGGTACAAGGGGTTAAGGTGCAGCACTATGAAGCTATTCACAGCTACTGCAGCACGAGTTCAATCCCCAGCCAGGGAGGTGACACACATGGTGCAGCAGACCTCTCCTGCCTTGCCTGCTGCTCCCCTCAGCAATGTATTTCAGTAAACCTGCCTGTTCTGCTCCCCACTGTCTCTGGTGAATCCTCTCACCCACTGCATCTCTGGCCTGTACCCCAGCTCTGGTATGCATAAAAAACCCCAAATGTTTAAAATAAATAAATTGGAGGATTTCCTATCTTCTAGATTTCGACCTGCATATCAGGTTTAGAAACTGCCACATAACAATGTCAATACAAAGACCACAAAATCAATGGTGTTGTCCCAAGAAAACAAGCACTCCTTTTTCTCCCCAGTTAAATATTTTCTAATAAGCACACAAAAGGAATAGTACTTCATTTGCTTTTTCTCTGTCAGAAAGGAGAAAAGATGGGTTTTATTCTACATCGACCCAAGGGCAATCATTCAAATTTGAATATAAAAAGAAAAGTCATATGGGTTTAGTACCCGATAATGCGCAAAGCATTAAAGCAACAAAAAAGTATATATATAGCACATTAAATTATTTCATGTTTCTGCTACAACTCAGTGGTTAGAGGCTTTCTACTAAATCTTAAGCTAGAGAAGCCGAAAAAAATAGACAAATGCCCATTAAAAATAATGAGTTTGGCACTAGCATTAGTACTAGCACTCACCTGTACACTGTCTCTTCCTGCTCCCCCCCCCCATGTTCAAAAAATATATCTGAAGTAAAAATTCTTAACTTTTTAGAACTAGAGGTCCTAATTTATGTAGCATGTTAAAAATAAATTCTGAGTCTAAAAAAGTCTTTAAAAAAAAATCTATTACTTATTCTGCTTTGGAACACATTCAATGCTAAAAAAAATTTCACCAAGAACCAATGTCTAAAAGAAACCTTATGCAGAATCTGGAGTATCATGTGGGTGTGCTAACTCTGCTACAAGGAGGAACAGCATGCTGGCAGAGTCCTTCCGTGAAGTGTGACTCCTACACTCTATACCTCTGTCTACAAATTACACAGCTGCTCACTCATCACAAGCCACCATGACTGCTTCATAATTCCTGTAAGAGCTAGAAGCGGAAACAGTTAAGGCTTTCAATTCCATCTGTCCCAAAAGGACTAATTTACCTTCTATAGACATAGTGGTCCAACAGCAGTGCAGACAGCAGCAGCATGATGGGAAGTAGCCCAGAAAAACAAAAATAAAGCACAATTTTAACACTGCACAGTACAAAGGTACCATTTAAATCAATGTGATCTAACAATCCAGATCGCCCCTCCCCACAAAATGTCAACAGAATATCTGAACTGAGATCTAAAAAATGAGGCTCTTTAGACCCAAAAAGGTCAATTTCAAGTAGCAAAAGCTTACCAGGCAAAAACATGCTGTTGGTTCTAAGTGCTAAGAAACTGTTTTGTGTTCTTTTCATTCATCATTTACAATAAAAATAAAGAAAAGGTTTGGGATGAGGATGAGAACAGAAATGGATTAAGAAGGGACAGTCGGGCCTCCCTGGTGGCACAGTGGTTGAGCGCTGGGTTGCGAAGCTGCCCGCAGCCCCTGCAGCGCCGGTTCAATCCCCGGCTGCTCCCCTGCCACTGCAGGAGGGTCCCACATGGTGCGCAGACCTCTCCTGCCACCCGCTGCTCCCCTCAGCAGTGTACTTCGGTCCTTCTGCCTGCTCTGCTCCCCGCTCAGGCTCTGGTGAATTCTCTCACCCTCCCGCGCTTCTGACTGTACCCAAGTGCTTGTATAAATAAATAAATAAATAAATCTTTAAAAAAGAGAAAAGACAGTCACTAGTTTTCATGCCTACAATTTCTTATATATTTACAACTTGTTGCTTCTAGGCAAACTACATCATAGGATGAGAAAACCAAGGTCACCCCAAAATTAGTATATTCATATTATGAATGACTTGAATCAGTGGGCAGGTTAAAAGCCAGTGGGCTTTATAAGTGATGAGACTACCCTTCTTTGATGCTAAATCAAAGTACAAAGATATGGTAGTTTTAGACACACTGAGCGTATCAGATTCTCTATAACTAAAACTTGCAAAACAGAATACAAAATGACTCCTCACACAAAAAAAACAAGCCCATGTCTAGAATTAAGGAAGAACCAGGAACCAGGACAGGAAAAGCTGTTGTGTTTCTAATGAAAAGAAATGGATGTCACCCATTCCTACCCTCTGTTCAGATACACAACCTGGGAGATAATTCCATACCACCACCAAATATATACATATGTGAATTTACTGACATCACTACAGAACCAGAGAAAGACATACATCCTTTGAAACTCTATTAAGCAGCAAGAGCAATACAAACCTCATTTCTTTTAGTCCTTCTGCCTCTATGACCTGCAGAATCTGTTTTGGTGTCATTGGAGCATCCGAGTAGTTTTCTAATACCTGAAGAAATATAAACATTCTGATTTCAGTGTCCACTTTCCATTTATATCCATCAATCTATGGTATGGCCTACAGTTCTGCTGCGGTACCACTGCTGACAATTTCATTTTTTCATAGTTAAGATTACATCAGAAAACAAATTACAGGTATACCCATTTGCTGGGGAAATACTGCAATTAGTTATTCTAAAGACAATCTAAAAACAAAGCTATTCTAAAGACAAATCTTAGCATATATGGCATCCGGTTACTGTTTGAGAGTGTTAACATAGCTAAAACACAGAATACACAGTACTACACTGTGTATTTTAAGGCAGAAATGTATTCAAAATTTTCTTTCCCAAGGAAGTTTGATTAGAACCCATATTTTAAAATTATTTTGCCAGAGCATTGTGAAATTCTAGTATCAACTGCCACAGTACATTTTGCCACTTGGTAACAGGATACTATGATTCTATGAGAAAGACAAAAACAGTAAGAAATGGAGCATCCCATTTATGTTAGCATCATCTATAATTAATAGCAGTAGTTTCTTAGTTACCAACTGCAATTCTTCCACTTTAATAAGTTGAGTTGTTTTAGAAGGGTTATCCTTCTAAGAGAAGACAAAGACAGGCTGTCAATATCTCTACCTTTGCAGCCACTGAAGTTACTCCAAATCAGTTAACATCTAATAGTCATATAACTGCCATAACCAAAATACTGCTCACTCACAAATAAAATGTAAAGCAAAAAGTCTGATAGGACCACCGCTGAGGTTTCTCTCTAAAGAACATGAGCCTGGGCCTCCCCGGTGGTGCAGCAGTTGAGCGCTGGGTTGCAAGGCTGCCTGCAGCGCCTGCAAGCCTCTGCAGCGCCGGTTCGATCCCAGGCTGCTCCCAGGCCACTGGAGGAGGGTCCCACATGGCGCGCAGACCTCTCCTGCCGCCTGCTGCTCCCCTCAGCAGTGTACTTCGGTCCTTCTGCCTGTTCAGCTCCCAGCTCTGCTCCAAGCTCTAGCTCTGGTGAATTCTCTCACCCTCCCGCGTTTCTGACTATACCCTGTGCTTGTATAAATAAATAAATCTTTAAAATAAATAAACAAACAAATAAATAAATAAATAAATAAAATAAAGAACATGCGCCTAAGCACCAAAGGGAGTCAAGTTTTGGTAAAGTGAGTGCTGAAATAAAAGCCCTATTTACCATGTATCATTCTTAGCCTCTCTTCAATTTTTATATTCTCCTTGGGTAGCATTACCATCTCTCAGTTTCAACTACTATCTAAATTCTGATAACTCCCAAATCTTTATCTCTAGTCTAGACTTCTCCCTGAGTATCAGGCTCAATCTTCAGTTCTGTACTGAACATGTCTCCCCACCCCACCCCTTGACTGTCTAATTTATTTCCATTCTAATTCATTAAATCAGCAACTCGAATTAATCTCCCCTCCAGACCCACTCTTCCATCCCTTACCTTGCTGGGTAGCCAATCTACTCATCTAATTCAGAAACCAAGGCGTTATCCTTCAATCTCACTCAGCTCCCAGTTCCCACAGCCAGTTTCTTACTTGACCCAACACTTTAAAAGCCTCTTCACTAATATCCCTGCATTCAGTCCCGCTTTCCTCAAATCCATTCTTATTCTGCTGTCATTCTTCATTCCACACATAAATGAAAAACCCAGTTTGTGCCAGGGACAATTCCAGGAATTCATCAGTAAACAAGACCAAATCCCTACTTTTACAAAACTGAGAGGCTATAGTCAAGAAGACAAAGCTGCACTCATCCTTTTCCCATTTTGAAATCCTTCGACAGGATTTTAAACTTTATTAAACAATACAGCAAAATCTAAAGCTTCCAGTAGCCAACGGACCATTAGAAAGTAGAGGCTTTTTAGAACCAGACAGATGTAGTTCCAATTTTGGCCTTCTAAACTACCCAACTTAAGCACAGGTTGCCTCACTAGTAAAGTAAGGATATTGCTATCTTCCTTTCAAATTTGTTTCAGATTAGCAATCATGTAAGTGGTGCCTACAGTGCCTGGCACAAAGTAAGTGCTCACTGGCCTGGCATACAAGCCCCTCAAAACAGGGCCTGTCTCTCTACCTGATTGCCAAACTGATACTTCACAAACCTTCTCTTCAGTAACTATACATAGCTATATACTATGTATACTAGTTATATACTATGTAACTACAGTTATTGGAATTCCCAATGCTCACACTCCCACCCCTACCCTTAAGCAATCGCCCAGCCCCCACCGCACCCCTCTCCTGCTATTTCTTGTCACAGCTCACCCTTCAAGATTAAGTTCACAAAGTACATTCCTTCAGGAAACCTCTCTGATTTCTGCCAGGCAGAGTTAAATGTCTTCTTTTTAATTTCCTCATAGTTCCACAACATTTATAATCTATCTTCAATGCAGGAGATTGGAGAGTTAAAGGAGGAACTACTCATAACTATGTCTGGACAATAAGCAGGAACCAGGGTGTCTGCTTACCATTTATACATCTCTGACCCCAATTACGCCTGTAAGTAAAATTCTGTTCATGTGTTTGGACCCTTCCCATCCCCAGAGACAAACCTTATCCATATTTGTATTCAAAATCCTAAGTGCTAAGATAAGATAGACAGTGTTGACTTTAACAAACCCACAATAAAGCCTGGTACAAGCAACTAATATTCAATGCCACAAATATCATCTCTTTGGTATATATTCATTGTGAGATGAGTTGGCGAATTTTTGTAGAATTTTTATTTCATGAAGCATGACTGATAAATTAGTTACCAATTATTTAAACAGCAGGCAGGAGAGCTTGAGAAACTAAGGCAGAGGAAACAAAATCTCTAAAGGGAAGTCACATCAAAAGATACAAAATATTCACTAGCAATAAAACTAAAAAAAAAAAACAAACAGTCCAGCTTTTAGTATAAGAACAATTCAGCAGTGTTCTATTCCTAGTCTCTTTCTAGAGCACACTTTGAAAAGAAAAAAAAAAGTATCTCTTCTACTTCAAAGGGGAAAAAAATGTTTGATGTAAGAATGGTCAGCCATGAATCAAAGTGAAAGATAAAGCATGCGATGAAGAGTTTCTCAAAGCCAGGAAGAATCCCTTTAAGGGCATTCAATTTAAAGGGAAATCCCCTAGGCTATTTCTCCCCAAATTGTTCCTAACAAGCAGGAAGATTTATACTCATCCATCCCCTACAGTCCACCTCTGACATCTAGGAAATACCATACAACAAATATTTGAAAGAATACCCTACCTTTTCAACAACATAATTAACTTCTGCAAAAATCATTCTCCTGGGACATATTCCACCACTGAAATTCTCCAGAAGTCTCTGCTTTCCTATCAAAACAGTTTTTTAAAGGACTCCCTGTATCACTCCAGACACCAATCTAAGCAAGGGCAGAAGTAATATGAAACTGACCCCAAGCAAGTGGCAAGCACTCCAAATTCACCTGTCCAGAGCGTCAGTTCTAACCTACTACTGTTCTACCGTTAGAGCTCCACTCTAATCAACTTCTCTCTGTCCGGTGTAAATAATAATCATTTCCACACACAAATGTTACAGCACTTTTTTCAAAAGGGAAAAGACCTCTAAAAAGGTTCCCCTTTCAGTTCCCCAACCAGTCCCATCCAAAAGGACAGAAAATCCTAAAAGAAAAAATATAAAAGATACACAAAATTATACATCATGTTCCCATGAATTGTCTTCCACGTGGTTAAATGAACCACAAAGTAATTTCTATTCATATTACAACTTTTTAAAAGAAGAGCCAAAGAAGAAAAAGAATTTACTCTGCTAATCTGGCATGAAGTTGAGTCAATGATAGAACAACCTGGACAGTGGAATCTGCATCATAGTAAATATAAGAACCTAAAGAGTTTTGGCAGAAAAGTGAACACCGAATTCCTCCAGTCTCTAGACTATTAAGAGCCAATAGAGATTCGAGACAGATTTTGTCAGGACATTAAAAAAACATATGATTAAAAGTACTTCCTACCTACCTCTAGCAAGTAAAAATCTGGCAAGCAAATTTCTTTTCGGTGCCCAGAGTCATAAACACCTGGGTAACAGAAACTCAGAAGAGAATTTCAATGATACCTAAGACTCAACCTTGAGAAGAAAGAGAGCTGGTACTTTAGGCTATTCCCTGCTCTCCTTCAGAACTAAATTTGTTTCCAGGTAAAGTAACATTGAAAAAATCCTAAAGTTTTCAAGAGAGTCTCTAACGCTGGCCAACACATCTATAATTTTGACTGAAAACAATATTTAGGAGCTTCAAAAATGTTCCAATTTAACAAACCAAAACTAATTAACTGAAACACAAAACTTCAGCGCACAAATACCCAAGGAAGAAAACCAGTGAAAATTCTCCTATAGCTACACCAGTTTCTTATAAACCAACTGAATTTTACAGGTTGTGAGACAAGATATACAACAGATCTGTAGCAATCTCCCACATACATCCATATATTTTTGCACAACACATTTCATTAGAAACCTCACTCCCCAATAAAACAAAAGATAAGAAGATTGAGTTTCATTCTCACCATTAAGAGTGAATTCTAGCAATTACATATAAAATACAGGGTGTCAGGAGACAAGTATGCTCTCTGCACCACAACCCTGCTGTGACAGTTGAGAAAGTGACATCTCTGGAAGAAGTACAACCTGTTACTATTGTCACCCACAAAATTTTACATGAACATGCCTCAAAGTATCTCAGCTTTGTGGGTAGGTGCATGCCCAAAAGGAAGACATTCCACTTACAAATCCTGACACTCTGAAAACAGAAAATTCACAATCCTCCTCACACAGCAGCGTCAAGTACTCAGTATTTTCTCCATTGCTAAGTCCTCAATGAG